GGTACCTGTCTGAGCTCAAAATACCTTAGAAAGCCCACGTTCCAGTAAGCCTCCTGAATGTAGGAATAGATGACAGGGAAGCGCTGGGAACACCAAGGGGGTTTAAGTCCATCCACAGCAGCTAGACGATAACCTTTGTCCAGAGCCAGCTGCAGCAGCGGCTTGGGAATGCCCTGCGACAGGCCAGTGCCAGGAGCACAGAACCTCATGTGAGCGTAACACTGAAACAACACGAACGGCAGGGAGATCCCAGCGCACGTGAGGATGACTGAAGACGCCAAGCTAAACAGTTGCCTCCAGAATGGAGGGAGCTTCCTTGCTAATCCTGGACCCACCTGGAGCTGGAGGGCAAAGCATTTACAGCGGGAGTAGGCGAAGAAGCCCGCGTTGACGAGCCCGTTGGCCCGCACGGCCGACGCGAGGGAGAAGAGCAGCCCGCTGCGCCAGCTCTGCCCCTTCTCCAGGTGCCACATGGCACTGAAGGCCAGGAAGGCAAACATGCTCTCCGAGTAAGCAGCAGCCATAAACACGTTGGCAGGGCTGACACAAAAGAGGAGGGCTGCGAGGAAGGCCACGCGGCGGCACCGCAGCGCGGCACAGCCCAGCTTGTACAGGGCAGCTGCTGCCAGGACAGAAAAGAGGGAATTAAGGAGAGCAGCGGAGAGCAGCAGGCGGCTCCGCAAACGCAGCAGCCGCTGCAGGGGCCACAGGGTGAGTTCTGCGGCGGCGCGGACGCTCAGCGGGAAGGCTGGGAAGAAGGCAAAGTTGTGCTCGTACACGTAGCCTCGCTCGGCGATGAACAAGAAGTGCTCCGCGTCCCAGCGCGAGAGGCCCCCCAAAAGCCACTCCAGGAGCAGGTCGCAAACGCCCGGCTCAGCCAGGCGGGGGGGAGAGAAGGCGTCTGCAGCGTGGTCTGGAATCAGGAGGTTAAACAGAGCCTGGAAAAAGAAAGGAGGACTCAAGTCTAGCAGACATCCTCTTGTATCCTCCTGGAAACCCCAAGCCCAACGATAATTTTGATTTGATACTTTTTCAAACAGGTAGAACCATCTATCTCGTGGTGCAAAAGGCAGCACCAAAGGGAGAGACCCTGGAGCAGCAAACATGAGGCGTTAGAGCGTCCTTGGCTCGGGAACGGGAGACTTGCCTGCAGCAGGAGGGCCAGGGCTCTGCAGCACAGGGCGAACCGCAGCAGCTCCCGCAGGTAGGGATCTCGCCCCTTCACCAGCTCCATTCCGAGCTCCACAGTCGCCTCGCTAGGTCACCGATGCCAGGGAAATTCCAGTTTTGGAGACCTAGGTCGATAAACAGAGAGCAGAGACACTGAAAGGTGCTTCTGGCGTGTTTGTAAATCACGCTCCCGCGCCGGCTCCATGCCGCCGCCACCGCCCCCTTCCGGCGCCGCCCCTTCCGGCGCCGCCCGGCGTCACGTGGCGCGTCGGGCGGTGGGCTGCGGCGCCATCTTTGTTGAGGGCAGGCTGAGGCGGGAGCTGGCCCCGAGGGAGGGGGCCCGGCGCTCCCGGCGGGAACGGGCCGAAACCGCCCGGGAAACCGGGAGCGGCCCCGAAGCTCCCGCCCTTGCTAGTGAAAGGGCAAAGGGGAGCTCCCTGCCGCCATGGACAACGGGAAAGCAGGGCCTGAGGGACTACGAGTCCATGCAGGCCTGTTAATTAATGTGTCGTTTTCATGCTGGGAATAAATTGCCCTTGCAAAAGGGAGTTTTCTGTCCTCCGAGAAAAGGAACCCATGGAAAACCAGGCGCTGTGCCCTAGTCAGCCTGGCGCGCTCTGCAGGGGCAGGGTGCCTGGACGTTCACAAGGGCACGAGCTGCTTTCTGCCCTTTGCTGACAGAAATGTGTGTGAAATGAGCACTTGGAGACCAGTGTCGCAGAGCACCCGCACACCCGGCCGAGGCTGAAGGTTGTTCGTCTGTTGTCACCACAGAGCAGGATGTTTATTGTATCTAAGGCCCAGGAACTTCCAGACAGCAGCCCAGACTTTAGAGACACCGTCACTCTCCAGGCTTCAGGAGCTCCTGTAACTTAAACACATGGTATTTGCTTTAAGCACAAAAAGGAGATTCCCGATACCGCTTGCTGATCCTATGAAGAGCAGGGCCTGTTTTCAGGTGCTGCATGAACTGGATGTACCAGCAATCTCCCTCCCGACTACACCAAACGCAGGCACTGTAGCTCAAAATGCAGCTGCCCTGCAAAACCCGAGTCCTTGCAGAGCCCGAGCAGCCAGCAGCACCTCCTGATGGACCCACGCAGGGAGGCAGCAGCTCCCTCTTACCAATATCTGTTGCGGCTTCAGCATGGGCTGCGTCGCTTCTGCTGATCCTGGACGGCAGGTGACGTCCCGTGTCGGGGCGGGATGTGCAGCTGGTGCTGTTGTGCGGGATGCACTTTGAGGAACGGAGCTGCATGCTCCAGGCGTGCGGCTCCGCAGAGGGCAGGGCTGCTGGGCGGGATACCCGAGACACGGGACTCCCTTAGGCTGGACGTGGTGGGGACGGGGGCAGAGGGACCGTGAGGAGGCTGCGGGTCCCCGTGCTCAGGGTCCCTCGCGGGTCACCCCCTGCTGCCCCTGGGGCGCAGGGCTGCCCCTTGGAAGGGTCGTAGCCACCTCGGATGGGTGACCCTATCTCGGGGGACCCCTACGGGACATCTACCAGCCTCTGTGCACACGGAAAAATCATGGAAAAAATCCTGGAAACCTTCTCCGTCTGGGAAAGTCTTCCCAAGTAACGCATGTGCGAGTGAAAACACAAAGCTTCGCCTGGCAAATTGCATGATTATCTTTGAAATAAGAAGCTCTTTTGTAACATAACATGGATAACATAACATGGATATCAGGGATAACATAATATGGATAACAGCAGAGGCTAGGGATGCGTGTCTTTACCTTTAGATATTACTCTCTTACCTGCCTTCAAATACTAGTGCTAGGTTTTGCACTCAGCAAGATAATATTGAGTTGTACCGGCTCCCAAAGTGCTCGTTTGTACAGCTTATTATTTGTGAATCTAAATCCACACTTGCAATAAAATGCTAGCAGTAAGTCTGCGCTATCTTGAGAGCCAGCAGGAAATATCAAAGTGATGTCTGGGCCTCTAGTTACCACGTTGTGGGGCAGACAAATACAGCAGAAAATGAAAATCAATTGTACGTACAAAGCACATAGTATTGATGAGTAGGAGTGAAAAGCTCTTTATCTTAAGAGAAGTTTTCCATGACGGAATGATTTTTATGGTGTTTGACCTTGACCTAAGAAAACAGGATCAATATAGCAGTTAGTTAAAGTTTGGGGTGGGGGAGAGATATATAATAACAATAACAAGCAAACAGGAAAGGCATTCAAGACAACTTCTGGACCTGGGAGAAAAATGATCATTTTGTATGTGCATCAGTAAATATTTTGTTAATAAATACGGAAGGCTGATGACTGTGCCATAAATATTCATAGAATGCCTGAGCTAACATAAAAGAGCAGCATCACTGCTATAAAATTGTCAGGAGCACTTGAATTAATTTTGTGAATTTTCCCTCTGGACTTGCCAAGATATCATTTGACTAAAATACCATTTTAAATAAGATTTTATTTTTAATATGTGTAGATTTGTAAATGTTCCTCAACATAAATCGTTTACAAAACAAGTTGTTCCTCAGAATCCATAGCTGACTCAAACAAAGTCGGCTTCAGTGTTGAGCTGGGAGGGAGGAAAAGCCACTTAAATGGATTAACAATCTTTCTAACCAACAGTCAAATTCTTCTGGCAGAAATATATGTTCAGAAACTTGCTTTGAGCATTTAGTAGGAATGCTCTCTCTAGACAAACCGACAGCTTGCAGAAACAATTGATTACTTCGGGGTTAGCTTTCATTTAGCTATGAAATCGGACACGACCTATTGACTGATGTTCAGCACCAAAATTAAAAGATATTGATTTGCTGTTTGCAGTTTTCAGTATAGGAAGTTTATTTATGCTATACAGACTGTTTGTATCGGTAACGTATTTCTGCAGTGCACTGATGGAAATAACCTGAAGAACCTCTTTGGAAAGGAAGGTATGTTTTATTTTTAAAGTGTAATATATTTTTATTTATTCTATAAACGTTTAACTTGTCTATTTAAAAAACAATTTGAAAGTTCACTTTCATATTTAATAGGGTCTTTTAGATTAAATTTTTCTCTATAGTCATCAGTATTGCAACCATGATTTCAAATTCCATTTAATAATGGTATTTTATGAGGTGAAAACTACATTTGAACATAAAGATGTCTCAAACTACCTTTCTGTTCATAACTGAATTATATTAATTTGTACTGCGTATAAAATGTAAAGGTAGATCACTTAACGTAATAGCTAAACACATAGAAGAAAAATAGTTTTATAACTGTTTACAACAACATAAATACTGAAACAGAATTTTAAATCCTGTCTCCAGTATAGGATCCTGCAAGAGAGATCAAAACAAAAACACGCACGAGTTGTGACTACACACACACAAAAAATATTACCAACTTATTTGTAGTCAGAAGATAATTAGAAATGCAGATTTTTGCATAGATTATTTATTTGTAATGAAATCATGGCTGAACATAGCAAAAACTGACACCTATGCACTGTTTTTAGTATTTCATATGGAGGCATCAGAGGAAACGACTAATATTCCAGTAATTATTTGCTTATTTAGTGCTGTAATCCACAAATGAATTTTGCTCCAAACTCTATTAAGCTCTTGTTAAATGTTAATGCTACATTTTTCGCTGAATACTTTGTCCCCTTACAAGATGATCTACATAAAAAAGAATTCACTGCCACACAGTTACGGGATGTTACCATAGACTTCAGCTGCAACGCAGGGCTCAGAACACCTGAAAAGGAAGCCTTGGAAGTATTCTGCGTCTGTCCACAGGGTAACTGGGAGCCCAGTCAGCTGGGAGCTGTCCGAAGGCAGATGCTGCTCGCCCGGTGCTGTCTCCTGGACGAGGACTCCACCAGGTCACGCACTGCGTGTCACGGAGCAGCCTGCTCTGATGGCTGCGCTTACAGGGCAAACACCTTAATTATCAACGGGAGCTAATTAGTTGCTACAGTCTTCCTTCATAAAGGCTAATACTTTTATTTCTGATGTCTTTTCACTCTTCTCTGTGACTTTTATGAACTTCTGGTATGACAATAGACAATCAGCTTCAAAAATAACTCTCATCTTGCAATTTATGGAGCCTGCACGAGAGACTGTGATGCGTTTACCTATGAACTCGCTCAAAGGGGCATATTTAAGAACTAAGAGCTAAGAACTCAATCCTGTTAGACGTCAAGCACCTCAGGATCCACGGACTTTGATCCAGATTGCTTCATGCCTCCTAGTTCTGTCCTTATCAATGTCTTCTACTGATACATTAGATCTGGATGGACAATGCGCTTCTCTGATTACCAGCGAATAATGGGTTATGCTGCATTGGCTAAAATGTCAGATACGATGGGTCTTCTACTGCAGTTTTCTTGTTAATATATTAAGGAATGAGTGCAGCTTTTCTAGTATTTTATTTTATTTCTTTTCTCTCTCATACATTTTGGTGTTAAGATGGCAGAATAACCATGGGAGACTGGAATTTCCTTGGAGGCATTTTAGAGGAGGTCCACATTCATTCTACTATTATTGGAAAGATTTGGCTAACTATCCTCTTCATATTTCGAATGCTTGTCCTTGGAGTGGCAACTGAGGATGTTTGGAATGACGAGCAGTCAGAATTTATCTGCAATACTGAGCAACCTGGTTGTAGAAATGTGTGTTACGATGAGGCCTTTCCTATCTCTCTAATAAGATACTGGGTCTTGCAAGTCATATTTGTGTCCTCCCCTTCCTTGGTGTATATGGGTCATGCCCTGTACAGGCTAAGAGCCTTAGAAAAGGAGAGGCAAAAGAAGAAAGCTCAGATCAGAGTGGAACTTGAAAGCACTGAGTTAGAAATGACTGAAAATCGGAAGAGGCTGGAGAGAGAACTCCGGCAGCTGGATCAAAGAAAACTAAACAAAGCGCCTCTGAGAGGATCTCTGCTCTGCACTTATGTGATTCATATTTTTACTAGATCTGCCGTGGAAGTTGGTTTTATGATCGGGCAATATCTTCTGTATGGCTTTCAACTAGATCCCCTTTATAAATGTCAGAGAGATCCGTGTCCAAACATAGTTGACTGCTTTGTATCCAGGCCGACGGAAAAAACAGTGTTCATATTATTTATGCAATCAATAGCAACTGTGTCATTGCTCTTAAACATCTTGGAAATTATTCACCTAGGATTCAGAAAAATTAAAATGGGACTCTGTGGACTGGATAAAACCAAGGATGACCTTGATGATTTCTACATAAATAAATCCAAGAAATACTCTGCAATTCCACGCTCTTCTTTGGGAATATCTGCAACTCCACAAAAAACGCTTCCTTCTGCACTTAGTGGTTATACCTTTTTAACGGAAAAGCAAACTGACGCCAGTGTCTATCCGGTTCTAAGTCCTCCTGCTGTCTTCCAGTCTATTCAGAATAACCGCGGCAGCAATTGCACCCATCACAGCCACGAAAACAGACTGCCGGAGCAGAGGCCAACTACCAACGCATTAGACCATCAGCTTCGAAACACTAGCACAAATAATAACGAAGGCTTGATCAGGGAGCTAGCTCCTGAGGAAAAGGATCCGCAAAAAGAAGCGGGAAAGCAGCATTCCCTTCTTTGTGCGGTGAGCGCGGACGGGCCGGCGAGCGCGTGCTTGAGGAGCTTGGCTCAGGTGCTCCCCCAAGCCTCGCCGCCGTCCGATCCCCTGCCCATGAACTGTCCGAGGAGACAACGCGGAGGCAGCAGCTCCTGCGCCGGCCCCGCGCCGGCCCCGAGCGCCGGCTCGGCAGCAAATCCCCTCCAGAGGAGCGGCAGCAGGAGACCGAGCAGTTCCAGCGCGAGGAAAGGCGCCGGCGCGTGCGGAGCGGAGCCGGCGAGCGGCCGCGCGGCCTCTGGCGACTCCGCCGGCGAGGCGAGCTCGGAATCGAGGCAGAGCCGGAGCTGCGGGAGCCCGGCGGCCTTCCCGCCGTCCCGGCGCGTCTCGTGGTCGAGCGGCGCCAGCGGCCGGCGCGCGCCCACCGACCTGCAGATCTAGCGGGGCCGTCCCGCGGCGCGGCGGCCAAAACCACTGACAGCTCCTAGGAAAACTAACCCAACTGGTCCCCTCCCAGCGGGTCCTTCGCGTAGATAACCGAGCTGCGCACGCCTTTGCTTCTTACCTAAGTAACATTTAAGCAGGATGGTTATTTCGGTGTTGTTTTTAATAAAAAGAGTGACTCGAACTGCTGTGTAGAAGCTTTTCCATTATCCTTGCAGCTAAAGGGGAAAATGTAAATCAAAGAAATCCACGTAACAGGGAAGAGTTAGTAAAGTTCAGGTTAAAACTTCCTCAAAGGCCTCACAAAATACACGGGTTAAAACTACAGTGGATAGGATAGAATTTGCAATTGAAAACTTACAATTGGAATTTGTAATTGAAAAGTCTGATGGTTAAAAATACAAAATAAGCTCTTTTCTTCCTGCTGTTGATAGGGTTGTTTGCTTTTTCTTCTTATGGGGGCAGTGACAGCGGTGGTATCAAAACCAAACCCAAACAGCAAAACCAGCCAAGGGTTCATCACAGCAGCTTTCCAGTAGGAAATTTTAACTTTATCCCACAGCAAACTTGCAACACTGCAGAAATAATAATAATTATTAAAAAAAATATCAATAATAATTATTTTAAAAAAATACTGAAAAAGGTTTTCCAGTTCGAAGGACTCTGGAACTGCAGGTGTAAGGCTATATTTATGTACATATTTATGATGGCAGCAAGCGGCATGTTGTTTGTCGTCGTGTCGCACCACAGACCCGCACTTTACGCGTGACGTCATCGACGCCCGCCCCTGCGCGCGCGTGACGTCACCGGCGGGGCGCGCCCCCGCGCAGCCCGGCCCCGCGCGCGCGCACGCGTCTCGCGTCACGGGGGGCGGGGCCGAGGCGGCGGGCGCCGTCGCCATGGCGACCGCCGGGAAGCGCTCGCGCCGTAAAGGGCGCAGGCGCAGAAGCGCGGGCGTTGCTGGCGCCCGGCGGGCCTGATGGCGCACTACAAGGTAGGGGGGAGCACGGGCCCGCCTCGGTCCGGTCCGCTTCGGTCTGATCTGGTCCAGTCCGGCCCGGCCTGGCCCGGTCCAGCTCGCCTCGACGGGGCCGGGCCGGCCGCGGCGGGGCCGGCGTCCTGACCTGTGCGCGCTCTCCACAAGGCCGCGGACTCCAAGCGGGAGCAGTTCCGCCGCTACCTGGAGAAGTCGGGGGTGCTGGACACGCTCACCAAGGGTAAGTGCCGGGCCCGGGCCGGGGCCTGCGCCCCGCTCCGCGGCAGAGCCGCCCCGAGGCACCCGCGGGCAGGTGGCTCCGTGAGGGGGCAGCTGCTGGGCGACGGGCCGGTGCCAGCAACGGGCCAGTACCTGCTCTGTGCCCAGCTCGCCGGGGCTGCGGCCGGCGTGCTGCTCTGTGCTCGCTCCTGCGGACGGAACCGAGGGCTCCCGCGTGCCCCAGCGTGTGGGGCGAGACAGCAAATGGTCCCTTAATATTGAAAATCTGGAGTAGAACTGAGTTTAAATGACTGAGCATCCGTATCTGAGTAGGGCTTGATGCCTCCCCTGGCCTGCTTTATGTCCCAATATCATCCAAGCTGTTTTCTTCAATTACTATGTTAAGGAAGCCCATTAACATCTCTACTTGGAAAGCGTGTAGTTTAAAAGGAGAACAGTGGATCTAGCACTTCCAGAAAATGGGTATTTTGCCCAGGAGTATGGCCCAAACTGCATATAATACCTGCTGATTTTGTAGATGAATTTGTATTAACCACAGTGCTCACCATCGTCTGTGATGGCAAAATGCAGCTGCCCAACAGCGGCCTCCTGCTTTTGTTTCCGATCTCAGTGCTTAATTTAAAACTCAAGTGGTTCTGCAGCTTGGCCATCAAAAGCTGGGAGAAAGACACCCGAGTGCCCTGTAAACATCACTCGGGAAATATTTATAAAAGCAAACACTGTCCGTGGCTATGTGTGTGTTGGGAGGTGTATCTTGGGGCATTTTCTGATGATTCATAGGGCTGAGTGTTCCCCCTGTGGAGCTGGCATGCTTACAGGTGGATTTATTTGAGCTTGTCAGGATAGTGATGCTGGTGCTGGAGCTGCCTGGTGCTTTCCAATGGAACCAGATCCATAAAGAGTGTTAGTGAGGAACCTCATCTACTTGGGACAGCCGTTCAGTTGTCTGATTGTAGGTGTTAGCTGAAATTTTGCTTTTATCCAGCGTACAAAAGCGCTGGTGATAGTTGCAGTGCAAAGATTTGGCCTATGCAGAAATAATAGTTTCAGAATAGCTGGAATTCTCCTGGTTGTGATTCAGGCTAATGCTGTGACTGTGTGTGGGAAATGCCACGTTTGTGCAGGCTGTTGGTATCTGTGTTCTGAGCTAGAACAGCCTAATCTTGCGGGCAAGGGAATCACTGAAACTTCAGAGGAGCCATTCAGGTGACTTATGGCCAAAGGAAACAGGTGAAAACCTTGTTAAACAGGCATTTCTATAAGTGTGGTACTCTGACCTGTGTGCTTCTGACTGTTTGTCTGTGGGGACATAGTCTAAATCTGAACTTTCATCTGCTGTTTGCAATTGCTGAATGTTTTTTATTTCCAGTGTTGGTAGCCTTATATGAAGAACCAGAGAAACCGAACAGTGCACTGGAGTATCCTTTTTGCCTTCTGTGAACTGTTTCTAGAAACTTAGTGCACCACAAAGGGTGTTTTTTGACTCCTAGGTGAATTGGAGAGCCTTGGATGGAAGACTTAAACTCAAAACAAGCTTTTAGGTATTTTAATTAACAATAGCAGTCTTGCAGGTGGCTCTTGATCAACAAAATACAACAGACAACTGAAAACTCCTCTTAAGCTGAACTAGCTGCTTCTATCAAGCTCGGGACTGCTGACATTTCCAAACCACTGTTTTTCTGTTGCTGGCTGCTGTTTATCACCAAAGAATTTAACAAACAAATGGAAAATTCTTCTTGTCTGAGAACCTTTCTGGTCAGCGAGCCAACTCCAGCAGATGCAAGGCAGCCACACACATCAGTGTGGCAGCAGTTAGCCTAGACCTTGTTTCTGTATTACACAATGTTGTATGACATCTGCAACACCAGATCTGGTTACATGCTCTATCTGTGCTCTCTGAAGTTCCTTCCATTTCCTGATGCTGCTTTTTTTTTTTAATATATATGTGCATGTATATATAAAACAGTAGGACAGGGAGAAAAATCATAGTTTTTGTCTTGCTGTTTCTAACCCCTCCTCCCCTCTCTTTCTGCACCTGTTGGTCATTATATTTTTTAACTCTTCAAATCCTAACCTGCTATGCTATTATCCTTTGCGTAAAAAAGTAGCAAGACACTTCTTTGCTTTATATCTAGTGATGCCTTTATTTTAGGAGTTGGCTAAGTTTTTTTTCTTATTTGTGTAACTTATGCAGAAATAATAAAAGTTGTAATAATGTAAATGGTATAATGCAACTTCAGTCATGTTTATTCCAGACAGCAGTAACTTAATCATAAGTACTGAAACTGAAATTCAGTTATACTGTTTAACTGAAGAAATACTTAACATCTAAATATCAGCTTTCTAAAGCATCATCTAGGAGCTTCAGCTCCTGAAAATCCAGAAATAGAGGCACTTCGCTTGGAAGCAGCAGAGATGAAAGAAAAATATGAAGCTGTGCTGGAAGAGAACAAAAAACTCAAAAGCAAGGTAAAAGGGCTTCTTAGTGCTCCTAGGTAGTTTCATATTTCACAACAGAAAGGCTACTTTGATGCTTTCAATACAGCTAACTTTATTTCAATGTAGTAAGTAAATATTGTTTCTTAGTCACAAGCCTGACAATTTAAAATTAATTCCTCACTTCCGTCTCCTGAAAGTTTTTTGATTAGGAAGAGACTTGTTTTCTGTAATATTGCATTGTTAACAAACGTGCGTATTTTTGTATGTGTATGTATATTTTTAAGTGTCAGTTATTCACATAGGGTTGTTTGATCCCATCTGGATGTTTTACAATTGTTTGATACTCGTGCTTCCTCAAGAGCTTTCTTATAATTAAATAAAAAAACAAGCTAATCTATAAAATCTGTATAATCATAAAAGCTCTCAAAGGTCTATCTGAGGGAGGGAGTGCACATGTGTTAGTTCATGCCCCTACACCTGATCTGTAGCAGGACCTGATCTATGCCTGTAGCAGGATATTGCCAGTAGGGGCACTTGGTTCCCCCAGAACAACTAATTTTACTAAAACAGCTCTGAGGCGCTGGGGCCTGCAAAGAGTCGCCCTGAAGTGTGAGCCACTGCAAGCCTCTGCTTCGATGGGACTACAGGCTCTCTGACACAGTTCTGAGATGTGGACAGCTCTCTCCATACACTCCAGGAAGCATAATGAAAACTGTGATAATTTTAGGCAATGTTAGCTTGGGATTTGTTGCTAATGATAACTGGTTAAGTCAAGTGTCCTGGTGAAAGTTGGAGAACAAAAGATGCTAATCAATATCAGCTGTTTCTGATTAGAAGTATCAGGTGAAAGATGAGATGCAGGTGAAAACTAAATGCAAGACAAGTTTTCAGGAGTGTTTGCAAAGCCTCCTTTTTATAACTGTAAGATCAGACAGTGCAGCAAGTGTTTGCAAAGAAGATTTCTTTTATTGAAGACTTTCATAAATCAGTGGTGATATGGAATGCACAAAGTGCGTTATTACTGGGGCAAAATGTTTTCTCTACTTAATATGGGAATTTTACCAAAAATGCTGCAGCTAAGTTCCTCTCCTTACATCCACAGCTGGCTCAATATGAACCACCTCAAGAAGAGAAGCGTGGTGAATAGCAATATTTTCTCCTTTAATGCCTTGACTGAATAAAGGGCTTCATGAGAACTGCAGTCCTGACTTCTTCTGTGTGCGAACCCTGCATCTTTGAGTTATATCTTCTTGAAAAGAAAAAGTCAGTATTGTTCATGCAGCTATTTTTGTGTAGCTAAAGCAGCAACTGGTAGGTTAATGCATACTTGTCAACTTTATTCTTTTCTTTAAGAAATGCTGATGGTTATAACAAACATGAAGGTGGCAGGTTAACTGCCTGCTCACGCGTTCATTCCATAACACAACCATATCCATTGTTTTTAAATGAAGAACATAGCACACTTGGAAAGGCAATACCAACTGCACTTTTTATTTGCATAACATGTACCTGTTTCTCTGTAGCTCACATCTACAATCCTGTTTCACAGACTGGACCTTGGAGAGTACCTCTGCCATCTGGATTGCTTTGGACAGAATACCACATTCTTGCTTCCAACAGCTCCTGTCCTGTGTGATTACAGTGCCTGTCATAGTAAGACTGGGAGAGTTTGCCTTATGATTCATATAATAGGGAAAAGAAAATCCCTAATGCCAGGGCACAGCAGAAAATCCAAGAGGTCTATGTGACTTGTGATCTCGCCTCCCTTCAGGGTCTGTGGCCCGTATTACCCTCAATCAGCCTTACAGCTCTTCTCAAATACAAAGTTACCCTTCATGAGAGATGCATCTCAGAACAATGGTTTCTTTTTTTGCTCCTAGATATTTTAAAGGCAACTGATGCTAGGAAAAATAAATGGAGGGGGAGAGGGGGAAAAAAAGAGTTCTAGTTCTGTGTTTGATCTACTTGCTACTCCTTTTTCTTTCCCTAGGATGAGAATTGTACTTGGTGCACTGGGCTAGCAGCAGGCAGAAGCATTTTAACACAGTGAAGAAGGGCTAGTATATGTAATTGCTACTCAGACCCTTAGCCCAAGGGGAAGAAAGAAACCAAAAAGAAAAATCTGTGTTCAACTGAGGAAAGACAATGCAAGAGCATGGAGGAACCACGAGTTCCTTCATGGGTGGGACGTGTCCTCCCTACAAAGCTGTGGCCGGGGCCGGGTGGCTAATGCAGAGGCAGCCTTGCCGGGCTGCAGGGTGATGCAGCCAGGGCTCAGGAGCAGCTGCAGCGGCTCAGGTGCTCGGCAGAGGCAGCCCCAGGGGCGGCAGGAGGCTCTGGCTGAGCCCTCGGCCGGGAGGGCCGGGCTGCGCTCGCCCCTTCTGCTGCTGCCTTCGGCTCGGCTCCGTGTGGGAAAGCGCCCGGCTCTGGCGCTGCTGCCTCGGCCGCAACTTCCCCTTCCCGCTGGGAGGGCCTTGCTGGCAGCGCTGGTTCCGTAAAGCCTGCTCAGTGCTGTCCCGCGGCAGCCGGTTCGGTAAAGCCTGCTCAGTGCCAAACTGCGTGGGGGTCCCGCGGCACCGGGCTCGTTAAGGCCCGCTCGGTACCGGTCCGCACGAGGTCCCGCGGCACCGGGCTCGTTAAGGCCCGCTCGGTACCGGTCCGCACGGGGTCCCGCGGCACCGGGCTCGTTGAGGCCCGCTCGGTGCCGGTCCGCACGGGGTCCCGTGTCACCGGGCTCGTTAAGGCCCGCTCGGCCCCGCCCCGCCGGTCCCGCCCCGCCCCGCCCCGCTGCCCCTGGCGCCGGGCCCGCCCGCTCACGTGCGGCAGCGCCGTCACGTGATCCGCGGCCTCTCACCCGCGACACCCTACCCCGCTGCGCCGCCGAGCCAATCAGCGCCGCGCAGCTGGGCGCCCGCCAATCCGGAGAGAGCTGTCTGGCAGCGGGTTGGGTTGGGCGCGCGGGGCGGCGCCGGCAGGCGGGGGCGGCCATGGCGCTGCAGTTCGGCGCGGCGGGCGCGGCCGAGGAGCCCGCTCAGGTCTGCGGCAGCTTCGGCGCCGCTGACTCCTTCTTCAAGGACTTCGGCTACGGGGAGGAGGAGGAGGAGGAGGAAGAGGGCGAGCTGGAGGGGGGCGCGGGGCCCGGCGGGCCCGGCGGCGGCGCGGGCGGGCCCGGCGGCGGCGCGGGCGGGGCGGACTCCAAGCCCCGGATCCTGCTCATGGGGCTGCGGCGCAGCGGGAAGTCCTCCATCCAGAAGGTGAGGGGCGGCCGGCCTCGCCGCGGCCCTGCCGCCGCCCGCCCCGGGCCGCCGCGGGCAGCGGGGCCGGCGCCGCCGCGGGCGGAGCTCGTGGCCTCGGTGCTGCTCCCTCCGCAATAAAAAGCGAGAACGCCGCTGCGAAGTTAAGTTCGTCATGGGGCTTTTTATCGTTTGCGTGCGCACCTCGGCGTGCTGCCAGCGGAGAGCCGCGCTGCGGAGGAAGAGCTCCCGTTTAGTGCCACTGTGTCACCTTTTGTGCCTTTGGAGGAGCCTCCTGCCTCTGAGTCAGCAGAAGGGCGGGCGCTGCTTGGCCTCCGTGCCCTTTCCTGGGCAGCGCCGAGCAGAGGGTGCTCCGGTGCAGTGCAGCCCTGCGGAGGTGGAGGGTGATCCCTGCTTCTGTGCCCAGCGTCCTGCCTTGGGAGCCCCCTGCGGAGCTTCCCGGTGCTGGCCGTGGGAAGGAGTCGCTCGTGAGGTGCAGCGCTGCACGGGCTCGTGAGCGGGGGCCTTCAGCCCGCTTCTCCTGGCGGTGCTGCGTCCTTCAGGCCTTTCCCTAAGGGTTTAACCAGGGAAGCCAATAGGAATCGCCTCTTAGCCATCCCGTGCAGGCTGCTTGGTGATTCCAACTACTATAGCAGTGCTTTCCAATCTGATGCTCTCTATATTTTGCTGTAGACTTATCCCTTTCGTTGGAATAAAGTTTGCAAAATGCCCTGTTTTTGTTAGAAAACTCTTTCCTTGGGCTTCCCTGTTGTTGGGATGCCCTTGGATGTAGCTTTTGGTTGTAACCTGTGAAGCAGATGTTTGCTTCCAGTGAGCAGAACCTCTCAAAGGACCTTGCTGCAATACTGTGTGTGCCTCTTCTCTCTCCTCAGGGACCTCCTCTCAGCTGCCATGGACATCAGAGCAATAGAAATAGTCTTATATTACCTCAAGGAAAAATAAAAAAGGCTTTTACAGTGGCTAGGGTGGGGAGGAAAGCGAGAGAAGTTGGAAAATCTATTCAGCATTTGGAGTTGTAGGTAAAGGTGCCTATTTCTATGTGCAGAATGATCCTGTGCTGCAGTGGAGATGCTGGCTGGTTATGGGTGACGTTCTGATGGTGGCTGGGCTCTCATGTGTAAAACCAGGTGCCTCTTTAGGGAGAGCATTGCCAGACAAGCTCACCGGACTGAGCTGCTAACTCCCAGGGGGAGTGTGCACAGAAAACTTGAGACATTTATTGATGTAAAAGAAAAATCAGCAAGAAGGGAGAAGGGCTTAACACTCAAGAAACAAATTAAAGTCCTGAGAACTTGCTGATCACTGCAGCTCAAAGGTGAAAAGGAAATTCACAATGTTCAAAAAAGAGGGGAAAAAAAAAAGGGCGGATGTTCAAGGTGACAGTGGAATTTTCTTTAAGTGCCATAAAAGCAGGAAGAGTTGCTAGGGGTTGATGACACCACCCAATGGCAAGCTGTATTCAAGCTGTATTCCATTGGGAATGGTTTAGTTGTAGCTAAGCAGCTGTGCAGATCCCGGAGGATTTTCCGGCCTCGTCTGCTCTGCCTGCACGTGCCTCGTGTCAGCTGCTGGGTTTCGCTGTCGTGATGCCGCTCGGGCTCTTCCCAGAGCCCTCTGCTTTATCAAAGCTGCTTAAGCTTGCAAGACGGGGTAGCTATTAGGTAATAAAAATGGAATTAGATCAAAACTGTGCCCTGCTTCCCCTGTTTGGTGTAAAACTAGCCGGGGAATATTCATCTGAAGAAACACTTTGCTTTGGAGGTGGGGAGAAAGGGTGATGATGACGTTGCTTTTCAACCTTGTTTTAAACTTGGTTCACTATTTCAGTCTTGCTCCCTATGAGTTCCAAAGAAAGAGTATTGATTTCTATAATCCTTGAAAACTTCTTCAGACCCTGGGGAATTTCAACTCTTGTCAGGACCCATCTGAGAACCGTTCTCTTCTTTCCATATAACTGTTTCGCTGCCTTAAACCTTGTTTGGATCCGAGTTCCTCAGATGTCTGCCTTAAGCGTGTGAATTCTTTCTGTTTGTTCTCAGAAATCTAGTTTGACGTATTATTTTGTTGCTCACTATTCAACCCATTAAGTTTGCTGGGGGCAGGGGTTAGAGACAGGGTAATTATAGGGTTTGACAGAAGATTGTGGCTCTTGGACTCTTTGGTGGGTGAATTCTAGATTTGTGTGAAGGAGTGTGTGTGTAGATGTATATATACACGTACATACACACCCAAAATAATGCTTCATAAGGAACAGCTTTCCTTCTGCTGTCTTAGCCTTAAATGAATTCACAAGTTGGGATGACTTTTATAATGCAGTTCAGTCTCTTTAAAATAATGTTTGCTCTTCAGGATTGCTTAAATTACAGGCTGTTCTTGCCTTTCTTCAGGAAAGGGCTAAAATCCCACCTGAGGCTTTTGCATGTTAGCAATTAGTGCGTTTATCATCACCACCGCGTAGCTGTTTATTGACTAGCTTATCAACTTTCATCTTCCGTTAAAGACACTTGAAAGGAGAGCGTCAACAGAAATAATTCATTTGGCCACAGTTATTAACATATCTAGAACTGGAATCCTATTATTTTTGTATACTTTTATTGTAGTTTGAGTGGTTTGATTACGTTGTTCTGCAGTACTCAATGCACTGAATTCAGTTGTGTAGTTCTGGCCACCTGTATAGAATTTATTGATGGAAGAAACTGTCTGTTCACTAACAGAAAGACTAAATATGTGCAGGATAATGCTGTACACTTTAAAATGGACAGACATTCTTGTAAGACTGAAGTCGCAGAGCTTTTATCGATCTTTTCTACTAAGTTAAGACTATAATTAGTGTTCTTTTAACAGGTGGTATTCCATAAAATGTCTCCCAATGAGACTCTGTTCTTGGAAAGTACCAACAAGATCTACAAAGATGATATTTCCAACAGTTCGTTTGTGAATTTCCAAATATGGGATTTTCCTGGACAGATGGACTTTTTTGATCCAACATTTGATTATGAGATGATCTTCAGGGGAACAGGTGCTCTAATATATGTTATCGATGCCCAGGTAAATACAAATCACTAACAACAGCAAAGTTTTCTTGCGACTCTGTGTGTGTTTGGACTGATCAGGAAAATAATAATTTATATGTTTTAGGTAAGTTCTTATAGCATCTCTTGTGTGTGAATGTCTGCTTTGGCAACCTAAATTTGGCCTGTTGTCTAGTTGTGTGAATTGACTGGGTAGGAGACACTCCAAGGGAGTGTATGGAAAAGGATAAGTGCTCTGGAGCTCACAGTGGTGAGAAGCCGAGCAGTGAGAACCTGCTGGACTAGGTGGTCTGAATAATCCCCTCCTCTTCCCCTGACTGCAGAATTATTTTAATAACAGCAGGCTTCTGACCTCAGTCTCTGGGATCATTAGGTATCGGCTCTCATTAGATATCTGGCAGCTCCTAATGAACCTGGGAGGGAACTCTGCTTATTGGGACTGTCTCCCTACCACATTCTGCAGGAGTTGAAGGGTAACGTATGTGCAAGAAACACTTCTCCGTACCCCGTGGAAATTCATTTTGTACTGGGAAGCCCCAGGGCCTGGTTTGTACAGCTGAGCCTTAGGTAGCTAATGACACTTAATTACAGAACTGAACCTAAAACTTGCTACCTGGGTTTCTGATTCTCCAATCCCATGTTTCTGCTTAGGAATGAAAGTAAGATCAAGTTCAAATCCTGAATGATTTTATCCTTGTGCAGAATGGAGTAGTTACTGCAGCTAAGCCATGTTATTAATTCCTGCCAAAACTAATTTACAGGATGACTACATGGAAGCTTTAACAAAACTCCACACCACAGTTTCGAAAGCCTACAAGGTCAATCCAGAAATGAACTTCGAAGTTTTTATTCATAAAGTTGATGGTTTATCAGATGACCACAAAATAGAAACTCAGAGGGATATTCATCAAAGGGCCAACGACGACCTTACAGATGCTGGGCTTGAAAAACTTCACCTTAGGTGAGTGAGACATTCTGGCATATGGGATCTTAGTGTTGCTCATTCACATACAGACTAATAGTTCTTAGTTTTAAGAGTGGTTTGGAACAAGGTGTTGTTAGTTTAAGATTGTGCCGACTCTTTTTATAAAATAATCACAATGTTTGGTTAAGTCTCAGCTGTTTAGCTGACCAAAATAAGGTAAGCTATTACATTGTATTCTAATCAGCAGATTTATTCATAAACTCACTGGTAATTCAAGGTCCTTTCTTGTCTTGTTTTCATGCAGCCTAAGAGGCCAAAGTTGTACATGTGACCTAGAGGGGCAAGGGAGGGAGACTTCTTCTCTTCTCTAGTAGTGGCTAGTGCTGACTTTTCAGTATGATTGTTCTTAAATGCTTAGTCTCTCACTTGATGTTTGGCTCATAGCTTGAAAAAAAACTGTACAGCTAAGTTTAATACAATGCATCTGTCTCTTTTTACTGTTGTCTTTCATCTCGTAGAGTGTTAAGGTATTGGCAGTATTTCAATGCTGACAGGCCAGAAACAGGATTTTAAGAGATCTAGTTAAGCATTTAAGTCTTCTGCATTAAGCATTTTGTAGACAAAATGTGTTTTGGAAATGTGCTCAAATTTCTCTCTCTTCTCCCATCTCATGGAGAGGGGGAGAATCTGTTTCATTTAGGAAAGAGGTTCTTGATGTAGCCGCAGCAAAATACACTTGTGATAAGGAATCTGGTTAAGACATCAGTCTTTGAGTGTTATATAAAATAGCTTTAACGCCTCTATTTCACCTCTAATTCTATTTTTGAATATTTTTGCTCTTTTTTCTCCTTCTGCACTCATCTCAGCTTTTATTTGACCAGTATCTATGACCATTCAATATTTGAAGCCTTCAGTAAAGTGGTACAGAAGTTAATTCCGCAACTGCCAACACTGGAAAATCTACTAAATATCTTTATATCAGTAAGTGTTAAGCTAACTAATCTAACAGAATTCTAAGCCAAACTTTTGCAGCAATAGGACAAATCATTTTGATAGGGAACATTGGCTGGATCTGCATTTGGGGGATTCAGGTGCCACTCTGATATTGGTGTATTCTGGTGGTACTGTTGTCTGAATCTGAAGGTCTTTATCAGAACCACAGTGTACTGATGCATCCTTTTACCAGGTGTCTCACAATACTGCTGCAGGCAGAGAGTGCAGGAAGAGAGAGGTGGGACTGAGATGTGCAGGGGTCGGAAGCCTCACCCTGCACTACTGCGAGGCTTGTGTTCATAGAGGATTCTAATAACGTGGCCCAGCAGATATTGGGCACGTTCATGGTACTGACCAGCAGTGTAATTAGGGAATCAAGTGCAATTCTGGTGCCAGAAGGATCAGTTGGATGTCTGCAAGACATTACCTTGGGTGTTCCAACTGGCCAGGCAGAATGAAAGCTAATGTGCCTGGTATATAAACTGCGGCTAAGCTTTGCCAGAAAGCCATGTTCAGAACTGATGTGTGACACCTCACTTGCTCAACAGCAGAAGGCTTCTGCAGTCGTTATGAGCACATGCACTGTGTCCAAGTGCTCAGCTACAAGTAGGAAAATACAGTTGTTTTGGTGCTCTTCATTATTCGTAACTGCCACACTGTGATACTCTTCTGAAGTTGTAAGATTAGAAGGTGACTTGATTTGCCCTGCATGTCAAGCTATATAGCAGCTGCCTCATATAGAAAGTATGTGTTGATACTTAGATACTTAAAATAACTCATCTGCAAGATTATTCCAGCAGGTGAACCTGAACGTGTACGTCCTCTGTTTCTAATAGAAACACAAAAGGAGAAAACTTCTAAGCTTGGGTCTGGAAGTATAATAAAATGTAACCTGAATTATGGTCTGGTAGCTTATAAACTAAAAAATCCTAACCAATCTCAAGTTTTATGTTGTCAACTGGAACGTGATGTTAGTATGTTTTACAGCAGCTAGGGTAGTGTGCTATAAACTATACACTTTGCTGTTTTAAGCCTCTAAATTGGTTATGTTTATACTATTACCTGCTTTAAGAATGTGAAACTGTATGACGACTTCTGAAGATGAAATACAGTTTTCTTAAAGTCTTTCTCTTTCTGAAGAATTCAGGCATTGAAAAAGCTTTTCTCTTCGATGTAGTCAGCAAAATCTACATCGCAACGGACAGTTCCCCTGTGGACATGCAGTCATATGAGTTGTGCTGTGACATGATTGATGTAGTGATAGATGTTTCCTGTATATACGGGTAAGTGATGAACACTCTTAGGGAAAAAAAAATCCTTAAAAGTTGAAGAATAGGTTGCAAACTATGCAAGTCCTGTTGGCTTCATCATTCAATAAGATACTATCAGCTGGTCTGGAAACAACATTCTTTCTGCAAGTAATTAGGGGGGAAAAAAAGCGAACTGATTAGCTTTCATAATCAGTTTCTTTCCTTCTCCCTCTACTCATCCTTGGAAAAAAAAGAACACTTGACATTTCCAGAAGCCAAGTATTTAATGTAAAATCCAAATACTGCGGTGTCATATTTGGATGGTAGATGTGTGTCAGTGCCTACAGCAGCTGGTAATGAAAACATCCCATAGCTCATTAGTACAACTTGTAATCACATTGCTCTGTTGTTTCCCTCTACCTGGACAGAGTACCTTTGGCCACATCTCTGCTTTCCTCAGCTCAGCTTTTGTTAACTTGCCCCAAAGAATGAATGTAGTGCCTGTTTTGTGAAATTCGTAGTTGAATTTTATGCCAAAATAGTTTTTAAGTGGCTGTGGAGAGTACCTCCCTCCTGGCTGTAAAGTTTGTCTTCTTAGCATCCTTTTATCTGAAGCAGTCATTGTATGGCCTGCAGTGCATGCATCCTAAAAGCAGGAATGTACTGGCGAACCTTTCTGACCCCTTGTGAGGGGCTTATGCCATTCTTGATACTGCTCTTCCTTTATATTCTATGATAACCAGTTGAAGTAGTTACAGTAACCTGTGGAAATACATGGAACTAGAATCTTGTGCTTAACCTTCTTTCTATTGGCTTCTGTACGGTGCTGTTAGGAAGATGATTTTGTGTAGGGGGCATGGTTGTATTTCAAACTGAGCAACAAGCATTATATTAGTTGTATTAGTCCAAGTTATGAGAGACTGAACAGGCCAGAGATAGTAATTGGACTGGAATTTTTCCTGTGCCCTCAATATCACTATATTGATAAAGAATGTGGACTAGGGAACCTTGGGATTAGTTTGCAGAAACTAACCTCCCCATGATGTCGCTTCATTAAAATTATATAAAAGTTCTATGTTAAAATCTTCAAACCAGCTGTTTGATGTGGTACTGTGGTGCTGCAAATACAATGAGACAGTGACCTTCTGGTTTGAATGTAAACTACTTCACAACTTATATTCTATATCCATCAAGAAAGTTCAGCTCTAAGCTGCAAATAACATTGCCTAAATCATTGTAAGTTTTTAGTTTGATACCAAAAGAATGTATGCCGAGAGCTTCCCCTTAATTATGTTCCTATATTTTATTCATTTTATTCTAGCAAATATTTTTTCTTCTCCTCTGTCTAGATCTAGCATTCACTTAATATCAAGAGGCTTTAGAGGTGATAAGGGTCATACTTATAACTGAGACTTGCACCTCAGGTTTTTCACTTGCTCACCATTCACTATATGTAATATTCTTCCTGATGTTATGCTGCATTTATCAGGTATTAAAGGCTTGTCTTAATTACATGCGCACGCCCTGCAGCTTGAGGATGCTTTAACTTTTTCTCTCTTAGGTTGAAGGAAGATGGCACTGGAAGTGCTTATGATAAAGAATCAATGGCAATTATCAAGCTCAATAACACAACCGTCCTGTACTTAAAGGAAGTAACAAAGTTTCTGGCATTAGTCTGTATTCTTAGGGAAGAGAGTTTTGAGCGCAAAGGTAAGGACTTCCCTCATCGAATGGCTTTTACTCAATACATTTCATCAACTGTACAGTTTATTATGACTTTATAATTCACCTTAATTTCATATGACTGAATTCGTTTAATTGGGAGGGAGGGTGAAGACCAGTCAGTATGAGTTTGTTGGCTGCCTTGGTCTGTGTCACTAGTATCAGCTGTAGTAGAATCAGTCAAATGGAGTGATGTTCCTTTAGTTCTGCAGCAACAGAAAACTTGTGACTAGGTGTGTTCTCTATTACGTATGTCACACTAACCTTTTTAGCCTATGACTGAGGAAAAGAGCAAAGTAAGCTGGTGCAGCATATGGTGGGTACTTGAAGCAGTGTTGAATGCAATCAAGGTTTAACCAGCCTTGTCGGACTTAGAGTAGATAAAAGGGGTGATTGGTCTTGTGCCTGTTACAGGGTTGAAATAAGAGCGTACTCTCCAATTTCAAAGTATATGACTTAAATCGGGGCAGTGATTATCTTGGCATTCACATACTGTTCAAAAGAGCAAAAGTAGGTGCATTCTCTTAATACCTTTGCCATATTTGATCTTGGAAGCTAGGATATATGTCAATGTTGCAACCCAAAAAAGTGCATAATTGCGTTCAAGTGACAATCACACTGCTATATCCTACTGATTCATTTGCGTAGGACAGTTATGTTTAAGGGTGGAGTCTCATGTTGTCCCCGCTTCCGCTGTTTAATATATGTGTGCATATATATACATCTTGCCTTTCAAAATAGTACTTTATATCTAAATATTGAGAGAATCTAAAATAATACTGGCATCGGTAAACTTGATTGTTAAATGTTTTGAACTTGGCTCATGCTAAAAGAGGGAAATAGCTGTTTAGTGAATGAAAAAAACTGTCAAGCTCGGTTGATTATATAAATGTGCCAAGCTGAGCACACTTTTTCCTGTCCCTCTCTCTTCCTTTCTAACAGGTCTCATAGACTACAATTTTCACTGTTTCCGCAAAGCTATTCATGAGGTCTTTGAAGTAGGTGTTGCCTCCCACAGATCCTGCAACCATCAAGCAGGCACCTCAAATATGAAAGCAGTGACTCACAATGGTACACCCAGGAATGCAGTCTAGAGGAAGACTAAAGACATGGGACAGACTTTTGTCAGCTCTTCAGTCCAGCCCAAGGTTAAGTTTTTGTGGAACAAGAGAAGACCAGTCTGAAAGCCTGGAGTTGGCTGCGCAGGAGAAGAGCGACGCTCACTTGGGAACAGCAGCTTGTAACTCATGTTGGACAACTGAAACTACTGTAGAAACGCTCTGAGGCCAGTGGAGTTAGAAATGTCAAATTGAAACGAGCTTTATTCCAAGTATGGTGTTTTTGCAGTTTGGAGGCTTATTTTAACAGTCCGTGACTGAAGGAAAGACTTCGTGGTCAAAGATTACAGATGATCGAGTTGAGCTTAACATGAAACACCGAATTGTCACTTGCTCAGCTGCCTTTTTTTCTCTCTCTCTGTAGAATATCTTTTTAATCTTTTTTTTTTTTTTTTGTTCACTAATCTTTTTCATGCAAGAAAAATTGGTGATGTTAATATGTAGGCTTACGAAAGTCACGCTTTTTGTTTTGTGAGGCTGGTCTCACAAATCATTCCATAAAATTCTTTTTCCTCTCTCCAAGTTGCTCAGAGTATTCCCATAAATTCTGTATTTAAGTGGATGTAAAATAGAGCTCTGTTCTGATTCTGTGTTTGCTTGGAGAACTGAGCTGCAGCTTCAGTTTAAGAAGTCTTGATACTTTGCTTTCAGAAAACCCTTATTCATAAATCCCTTTCACTGGGAGGGAAGGAGTAAAAGCTGAAATGGCCTACCTGCTTTATTTTGCAAAAACATGGATGTCTTAAATCTGTGTGAATAAATCTAGTCACAAACAATTGCATGGCTAAACCGAGGTGTCTGCCATCTGTTGGATTAAATCACTTTCAGCTATTTCTGGATGAAGAAATGGCCAAATTACTTACAATAGACGAGCTCTCTTTACCCTGTAATAATCAAGACAGTTCTTAGGAAAATGTCTGAAGCTGTTGCCTTAGCATAGCAATTAAATATCAGAGTGGTACAGCCTACTAATACCAATAATTCAGATTGCAGTGATCTCATGCAGTGGTCAACAGCTTGTTTGTCCCCATGCAATCTAAATAAAATAGCAAGTTCTATGACCTTGTGATTGCTGAATGTCATGGGAGGTATAACTGAACTGTTTTTCCCTAATTTATTGGTAATATTACAGCAGATGTCGCATTGTACATCCGTCTTGTTGAGCAGTAAGCTCAGCTGTTGTTCCAGACGGATCTTTTCCTCTTTTCACCTATCCCTAGGTATGCAGAGGTGTTCAGAGGCCACTGGACCAACTGACTGTACAAGTGCCACTATAAAGCACTGTAAAATCTGTGTCTGTAAATGATATCTGCAAGTGATGTACTTCTGTGGTCAGTTACATCCAGGATCACTTCTATATTTATAGGATGGATTTTCATTGAACTATGTAAAAATGAATAGACATGCATTTGCATTAGGGTGCTGGCACATACTCGATAACTGCATTTTTGCTTTGTTTTAGAGGTGATGTATGGTGATCAATACATAAAGGATCTGCTCTAGAAGTTACTCAGTAGGAGTCTCGGGAATTCGAGTATTCTCGTTCAGGTAGTACTATTTCTAAATCCAGCCTTGGCGTCTTTCTTGGTAATGGAGCTACTGTTTCTGGAAGTGGAGTTTTATGAAGATGCTGCTGGATTTTCAGATGAGGTTTGGTGGCTTGCGAGCTGTATCAGTGTCCTGTTACCTCAAGGTGAGAGGAGAAAGAATTGGCAAGAGAACAAGTAACAGCTCATTCACATTTGTGCGGTGAGATTTCTATGTTTTGAGTACACCTGTATGTTCCCATCTTTCTCTCTTCCGTCTCTATATGATTCTGTGCTAATAAAATTAAAAAAGAAAAAAATATATTGTTTCTAAGGGAAGATGAGAATTTGGTAGAATCAGCCATATGGTTAAACAGATAAGAAAAGTTCCTGCAACTTCTCTGATTTCAGAAAGATTTTAAATGCATTCATCCTATGAGTCAGCGTTAGCTTCCCCCTTGATTTAATGCTGATTATTAAATACTCAATTTTAAGAAGATGATGCTTGTCTCTTAAGGAATATGAATGACAGTGATTCCTGTTTTGAATTCTGAGCATTAGATTGCATGCTGAAAACCTGCCTTTTTAAACATTGCTTTTACCGACAATAAATATTAGCTTCTCAAAACAGAGCACTTATCTACTATTAGCAGCAAAAAATCTGAACGTTATTAACTCTGAACATTAAATTTGTCTCTTATAAGGAGGAGGATATTTCCGTAGCTTACTACATCTAGTTGTAAGGTTGTAGTAATGTATGAGAAGGTAAGTTGTGGGCCCCTGCTGCTGAGGGGAGGCTCTTGCTCCTCTTGCTGCTGCTTCAGCAGGGCTGTTTTCCAGTTTGCAATGAACTCCTCATGTCACTGCATGCACAGGGAGCGACAGGGCAGCTGAATTTTCTTTTTCCCCAGCACAGGATCCTCTCTCCCCTTCCCTGGTGCAGCGGGAGATCCTCGGAGAGGTAAGGCAGGGAAGGGGGGCTTCCTTGGAAGAGGGGCTGAAATCCTGAAGGAAGAGGGATGTGATGCATTTTCCCTCTCTTCCCTCCTATTAACCTGGGCGGCTCCAGCTGCTCCGACCCTTACAGACACCTGAGGAGCTGCTGCTTGTCTGAGGAAGAGGGGAGTGAGGAGGGAGGCAGCGGGAGGGCCCGGGCCCGGCGCGCTGTGCTGGGCGCCATCTCCCCGGGCGCTCCCTCCCTTCCTTCCCTCCATCCCTTCCCTCGCGGGCGGCCCCGCGGCGCGCGGAGGTGGCGCCCGCCGGCCAGGAGGGGCACGAGGCGCCTCGTGGAGCCCCGGCCCGGCCCCGGAGGCGCGGGGCTGCGGGGGCTGCTGCTGCTGAGAGCGGCCGTTATTAACGGCGCGCGCCGCTGGAAAACGGCCGTTATTAACGGCGCGCGCCGAGCGTGGGCTGGGCGTTTCTCGCAGGCGCCCACGGTAGGTGGCAGCCGTGTAACGTCCGCGACAGGCCTCGCCAGGAACGTCTCCCTCGCCAGGAACGTCTCCCCTCCCCGGGCTGTTCCCTTTACGTTCCCTCTCGGTAGGTCTTGTCGGGGCGCGTGCGGTTTCCGTTACAGCATCCGAGAAATACCTTTTATTTATTTTTTCTCTGTAAATCTATTCTGTTAAGTGTTCTCACTGTGTCCTGGGTGAAGTGCGCCTTTTTATTTTTATTTTTTCTCTTTTTTTCCTGACTTTCCCACTTACACGTGTAGTAGGAGAGGAGTATTCTTTGGAAAGTGGAAATCTGGAAGCACTTTTCCTGAAGGCTGCAGTGTGTCTTGACCCAAGTTCTGTTTAAAAAAGGTCTTTTACGCTGCCTGCATAAGTAGGTTCATTCTGCTGTTGATTTGCTCAAGTACATGGCAAATGTTTTCTGATGATAGGTGTTTTGTAAAAAACAGGAGGTTTCTCTGAGGAGCTCTGCTCTTGGAAATCAACTGATACTGAACTGATAGCCTCTTTCTGGTAGGTTTTTAATTTCCAGCCTTTTACAAGGAACAAAGTGATAAATTTCCAGCTAGACTTGTGGGCTACATAGTGAGGAACACCATGCCTTTATAAAAAATGGGATTTTCTGCATTAATTATCACCAGACCAAGAGGAAAAGTTGCCACTCTCTGTTTCCAGTTATTGATTATCTCGAAATATAGGGTTAAAAATAAAGTTCTTGATGGCTTATGGTAAAGTGGAGCATTTTATTTTCAGCTCACATGAGCTTGACTTCATTTTCATCTTGCAGTGAATGGGACACTTGGTGTTCACCTGTGATCTGAGGATATTTATTTTCCTTGCCCCTAGATGGCTGCCTTGTTCTCTTGTAAAGAATGTGAGGCTCTGCAAAGAGGCAGAGCCGGAACAGAAAAGGTCTTTAAATGGCTCCTTTCCCTCTGCTCTCCACAGCATTTACGTATTTGCAAGGAAGAATATTAGGGGTGAGTTTATCGCTGACGACCTGCTGTAACAGCTGGGAGCTCGTAGGTACCTTCTGCTACGGGGTAGGAGGAGAGTGAGCTATGACGTGGTTTAGGGAATTCAGAGTATTGCTAATCGTGATACCGAAACGCTCTTGATTTACAGCTTAGGAAATGCTCGTGGTTCTAGCAAGTGCTGCCATAGGAATATCCCACCCCCTACCTGTTTCGAAAGGAGCTCTGCAAGAGGGGAAATGATTCCGAATGCTCTGGGAGTTAGGGGGGGTTTGTAAGGCTTGGCCCAGGGTGCGGGAGAAGTGTTACATGGGGCACTTAGACCTGCTGTAATGTGTCTGCTGCTAAAGCTCCGCTGAGACCACCCATTGCATTTGATTCCTAAGCCCAGGCAAACTGGAACCTACCTCGCCACAGCTGAGTGTGGTGAATTAATCATTCTAGAGTAATTTTCTCTCCAAATTCTGCTCCAGAATAGCTTTGTTTTTCTTCTTTCTGCGTGAACTACTTTATTTTGGGGGGGGGAAAAAAAAAACAAGTTTGATTCAACTATTTGCTCTATACTATTTTAGTTCTGTCTTATACACGAGAGAACTAAGAACAAAGAGGCACAGAAAAGAGGCATTTTCCTATTTCCTATTGGAAGATTCTCAAAGGGATTCCTGAATCGAAGTTCTGGTGGCACATGCAAGGTGATGGTCCTTATGCATTCTTACTGCAGCGCATTTCGTTGAATACTTAAATGAACAAGCCTGATTTTTAATCAGACATTTAGCTTTATAACTTTTTGTAAATCATAGTATGAGATCTAAGTAACAGCTTAACGAAAGAAAAAATTTAGAACTCACCCATCAATGGTCTGGATTTAAAAGTGTGTCAGAAACTAGTGGAAGTTTTGCATTACTTTGAGGGAAGCTGAGATGCCAGTTGTATTTTTGTGTGTGATTTGGTATTTCTTTACATTCTGATGTGGACTAGCAGTCAAACTGAGGATTTAATGGAGCATAGACTTCACTCTGGGCTCACCTGAACTTGTTAAGATGTTGAGATGTTGACTTATTATTTGACACTAATAAAAAAATTGCTTTCTGAGAAAGAAACTCTCCTGTCTGGTAAGTTAAAGCTTCCAAAGTGGAGATGGTTAAGATTATTGAACAACCTTTAACTTTCAAGAAGAAAGATGCCATTTTCTATAATTAGCAGAGATTCTGTTAGTAATTTTGGTTAGGATATGACTGATTTAATATGCTTCTGCATGCAGCAGGTCATAATCTGATAAGCAATTATGCTTACTGCATGATGAAGGGTGTATCGTGTTTGAAAAATCATCATGTAAAGCGTTCAGTGATATTGGCAGTCGTTCATAACGACTGTGTCGTGCAGACTTCTGTGAAAAGAGCCAAATAATTGGTATCTATCACATGCACTTCTGTCGAAATCACAATTTTCGTGGCAACACTGCGTTAATAGAGTCTGTCAGCTTAGTCTGTAATGGCTCACAGCACATCAGTCTTAAAGAGTACATGATTTTAGAATTGAATTAGCTGTAATTTTGTACAGAATTGTACTGCAGAATTCTTAGTGACAGAGGGGCAGGTACAGGAATAAGTCCAGTGTTAGGCTGTGCAGATTCTCAAGTGATAGGATGAAGCTACACATTCAGTCTGCTACAAAAATAGTTAAATAAGAGTTTCCTGACCTTAAGAAAGGCCTGATATTTGTGGTTTACGTTTGCGTTTATGAAATGACTACTTAAATTGAGGTACATATCAAACAAAATAGATGCTAGATAACACTTGAGGAAGAACTTCAAAAGCTGCATTTGCTTGAACGTTCAGAAATGCATGGAGCCAAGTCCTCTGAACTACGCGGTGTAAAAACTTGGAAAGCTCCAGGAATAAGAGAAAGGTTAGAGTGTCTTTATTGCACATCTGTCTTAGTAGGAGAAGGATGTGTCACCAGAAATAGTTCTTTGGAAAGCAATCATGTATGAAGAGAGAGCATGATCCTGGATATCTGTCAGAAGTAATTAATGGAAAATTTGGGAGTTTTCTTGTTTGGAGAACTGGTTTGCAAGGCAACAGATCATTTCTACTTAAATGTCTGTGGTGAAGTCCTTCATTTGGATGTCTTTTTATTTTCTCTCTACTTCTCTCTTGTATTGGAGTCTTTATCTTTCCTGGATAACAATCTTCGCAAGTAATACTTGTTCAAAACGCAAAGCCAGCAGATCCCTCCTTTTAAATTAATTGAAAGCATTATGAAATATTCACTCAATTGTGACTTGACATTGTGAATTCAACTGAAGTTCTGAATTTTGAGGCTGTGGACCCTGCAGAGCAGCATATCCCCATGTGTTTGGGGTGCGAGGCTCATGAAGTTCATACCATCTCCCAGCTCTTCTTCTTTCCTTTTAATGGTGTTTGGCTAGTGCAAGATTAGTTAACTAAAAATACCACTATCAAAACACTCCCAGTGTAGGATAGACACAGCCTCAGAAATTCTGATCATATTCTTGTTTAAATAGGTATATATCTATGTATTTTTTCCCCCCGAGATACTAACTTTTGCTTTCCTAGGTGCTGCATTTGTGAAGCCTCTTCCGATGAGTCCACTCCATGCTGCCCGGGTGACGTGATGCTTAATGGCTTCTGTGACTGCAGCTTATGCAGAAACCCCTGAGCTACCTGTAAACCAGTTAGCTTGGACCCTGCAAAGATGTGACAGCAGAGGGGAGTTGCA